TTTTTTACCAACGGAGGCACGAGAGCTCAGCTCTCCCCCGGCCTCCCCCTCCCCTTCTCTATCACCTAGCTGTTGTAATTACATCAGCAGATTCGGCACATTCGCGATAGAAAAGCGGCGCTTTCACGTTATGGTATTACAACTGTGAAATTACAAACAAAAAATGGTCACATTCTGAGACATGAACTGAAATGAATTGTGAATTTTATTAACATTAAATCGTCCTCCTCCCATTTTCACCTCAAAATTATGGGGAAGCTGTGCCTCCCCCGACGAGCCGCCACTGCCTATTTATACATTCTTCAGTAATACCTATTTGGAGATCATACTGCAATCCAACTATAAGAATCAGTAAAAGCTGAAAATGAAGGCTTTCAAATAAAATGTAACGTTAGGCCTGTATTAACAATTACATCTATAATCATTACTGAGTTGTCTTCTGAATGGTCTTATTATGAAGCACCCTTACACAAAAGTATTTTAATTCATTACAATATAGGTTACATCAAGGCTATTTTTTACATTGGAAGATTAATAACGTAGTTGTCGTTTGTACTGTGCCATTAATTTCTTGTGGACGATATTGTTGAGACAAAACGGGTAATTTGTGTTTCGTCTCGTGTTATATAACGTTTCAGAGGTAAAATGTGGGGTTTGTACTTTTTATGTCTGGTTAATGTGGATGTCTTAAGTAAAAACGCGTCATGTGTACCTTTTCACTCCTGTTCCAGCCGTGTTTCTTCCTATTCTAAAGCTAAATGTGTGTCTAGCAGCGCCTGAGAGAAATTCGCGCCCTTCAGTCAACCAGCTCGCGCGGTCTCCAGGGTAACGGTGCGTTTGGCAACCACTGTAAACAACGCGTCCTGCCACACTGAGCGAACAAAACAGCTAACGTCATGGCTTTCTGCAACACCGAGTATTTCGACCAGATTGGGAATATTCAGAAGAGCATGCACGAACGGTAAGAGCACAGTGCACTTTTTTGCTTTCAGTTTAGACACACTAGATGATGTATTGTCTCGAATAAAGATTAGGAAATTTAAGTGGGCCTTGAATGAGGCAGCGCAGTAGATTTCAGCTCTCACCGAAATGTAGCTTTCAAACTCCGTTAGCACGAGAGCGATAACCAATGGGAGTGCGCTGAGCGATTCGTTATAGCTTTTAAAATAACAAATACTTTATTAATAATCTTTGTGCGGTAGTGAGATCAATTAGTATGTCATATGTTTACTCATCTGTCTTTTTTCAGAATTAAATAAGTTCGAAAATTAACTTGGCCTTCACAGATTATTGTATTTAGTATATCACAATATTTGTTCGCTCTCTTTTTTGTGAGAAAAAGTTATACTTAAAGGTGAATGCCGTATTATAAAGTTAGTATGTGTGTTAACCTCCCTGGTTTAACTTGTTTAAACTATTTATTTAATAAGATCTATTTAAGCTATATATTTAATAAGAATTGTTTAAATACTACACATGAACTCTGAAAGCTGCAGGTGTATTAAGATTTATTTATTTATTTTTTATTTTTTCTCTGTATTTAGTGAGAGGAGGAGACATGAACTGGAAGAAAAATTGTTTGACTACTTAAGATCAGAGGAAAGATTGTAAGTATGAAAACATTATTTCGAACCTTACAAAAAGATATTAATAGTACATATCTTATCAAGAAACCTAAATAATAAATATATTATAATTTATCTTATCCTACACCAGTATTCACATAGAACCCATTAAAATAAAATCATGTATATATTTAGACAAAAATGCTGATATCTTGATGAATGTGTTTTGATGTGCATTGCTTCATACAGCACAGTTTTCAGGGCAGAAAGAAATACTTATCTTCTTTCACTACGGTATTATATTTATTGTGCTTTCATTTTTTTACTTTGAGTAATTATCTGTCTTTTTTTTTTCCTTTTATACATATTTTTTATTATTGTATTGAGTCTGTATTTTAGTGACACACACAACTTTTGATGCTACTTTAGTTTATTTACTGTATCACAGATATAATAAGGCATTCTCCAGTAAAAATGTTTATTTTTAGGACAAATAAGTAAACTAGTATACACACTCATTGATGATTTGGTGATACTTACTGTGTCATCTGTTTCTTTTTAAGTGCTTGAGAACAGTATGATGGCTCAATTAAATGCTTTTATAAAAATAAAGAATTTTGATATGAGGCCATGATGGTCAAGGGTGTGTGAGAATTTAGTAGATCAGCATTTATCATTCATTTTAAAATTTCAGCCATCGTTATCCATTTTCGCCCTTTGCTAGTTACAAAACTCCATCCATTAGTACTACTGTAAAGTGGCCCTTGACACATATGCAGTGTTTTAGTGTGTCTTGTACTATGCACAGTGACGAGCAATTAGTTATACTAATAAGCTAGCATTAACCTATTTATAGTAATGTTTGACCTATTTGTAACGGGTCTCTATATTTATTTCCATAAATACAAATTCAGTGCAGCCTTTTCTAAAAAAAGAGAGAGAGAGAGAGAGAAGCAAAGCTGTCCATTTCATGTCTGTCTCCTGCTCACAGGACTAAGTTGAAGTGTGCCAAGATGCGCTGCTATTACAAGGAGCTGCGCGAGAGAGAGCAGCAAGCAAAGACACGCAACCTTGAGCTTCTTGGAAATGTGGAGAACTTGGCATCAAAAATGAAAGAATTCTCCATTGATTGTAGCAGGCTACTTCAAAAGAGGGTAACAACCTTGGGCAACTTCATCTGTCCCAATATTCATCATATGCGCTTCTTAAAACAGTATTGTTGTACATATTTCGCAGTTTTTATCATTGAATATTTACGTTTGATTTGGTTTAGACCAAATACATCAAATCAAACTGTCACTTTGGCAGCCCAGCCTGTGTTTTGGTTGTCATTTTATTTTGCGTTATTCTCATGTCAAAACACATGTTTGTGTTGTTCTGATCATAGACGTGAAATGAAATGTGAAGTCTTGTGTGTTATACTTGCCATGACATGCAGTGACCCAAATGACAGCTGCTCAGTACCAAAAATGTTAGTGTGTAGACTGAATATTTGTTTTGTATTTTCAAAAACTTTTGAGATTCTTTGGAGGCACTGATTTTTTTTTTCTCCAGACATATATTCTGAGCCTCAATTAGACCATTGCCATAATCCTGTAATTGTCTGTCTAATTGTCTTCCAGTGTTTAAACATTCGCACTTATTGTTGTATGGGAACAATCATAAACACTCCAGCACTCATTTATCACTGCACACAAATGAGAAAAAGAAAACAACAGCTCTGTCAGATTGTCACTTAAAACTGAACAGTGCTCCACAGCTTAATATCAAATTAGACAAATTGTTTAATTACACCACCACAAATTAATCGCCCTGTATTCAGATATTGAAGTGCCTCTGAATTTCTCTTTTTGTGAAAAGAACCCGTTTTCCTACTTTTTGTGTGTTTGTTATATTTTTTGTTGCTGCAATGGTTGCTTTGAATTACAGTTGGAAGAGATACCTGCTAATCTAACTGCCAGTCAAGGAATATCACTTTGATTTTTATTACACTAAATTGATCCTTATTACTTAATTGCTCAAATTCACACCATGACCTCAACACATCACGCTCAAGTCTAAAACACTCTTTCTCTTTCCCTCGCTGATGTTTTTTTCTTCTCCACCCAGATATTAACAGTGCTAAGATTTGTCTGCTTGTAGCTGTGTTATCACGTCTAAATGGGTGAAAATGGTTTGTTACTCTGGTCCCTTTTGGGAGTGCAGATATTGTCTTACGAGAATGAAGTGGGAGGTTGGAGGTAATCCCAGTGCCCTCATCTCTGCCGTTGGTTAACTCGCCAAACTGATTAAGAGCCTTTGGCAGGCACTATTTAGGGCACTCACAATGGAATACACACACTGATTAGTGCTACGTTTAGGGGCATAAACATATTTTTCTCTTCCATTGCTTTGTTTGTAATATTTAATGAAAAAAGGAGGTTATGGATTTGAGTAAATTGTAATTTCCTGTGTACTTGCACTGTAAAAAATGACCGTGAATTTAACGGTAAAAGACTGTAAAAATGCTACAGTTAAATGGTTAACGGTTAACGGTAAATTCCCCTACTACATGCGGTGAAAAACTGTATTGGACATTACATGTATTGGACATTCATTTTACGGTAGTATTCCGTTTGTCTCATAACTGAGGTCACTGCAGAGGTTTTTGTTTGTTTGTTTTAAGAACTAGGGCAAACTGTAAGTTCTATAAGAAAATATCTTAGTCGTTTACATTGTTGAAAATGATCTATGTTAGTAATGATTTGACTTGAATTCATTTCAGTTGGAGTACAATAATCATATTACCAGACTGAAGAAAGACCGGAAGAAAATGGGGAGCAGGGGGGAATCAGAGGCAGACGAGGTAAGAGAAAATTATCATGTCATCTATGGAAATTACAGTTCAGTAGGGAATTTACAAAGCTATCTGTGTGCCTTTGATAAAACTGCAGTGCTGTGATGGGATCCAATGGAAGTGTGTCGTTTTTTTCAAAAGAAGAGAGTTGAGAGTTGTAGAGAAAAATACCACAACCATTATTCAGCTCAGCCTCCCTCTTCAGGAGACACTTTTGACAGTTTATATGGGGTATCAGTGTTCAAAGGCCACAATTAATTTATAATCAAAAGCAAATTGGAAAGTGCTTGAAGTAATTACTGTTTTGCTCAAATGACTTCAAATGACTGCTTTGGTTTAACAAAGGAGTATCACAGTCTTAAAACAAAATGATATTACACATTTTAAAAGGCTATTTAAAAAGAGTAAAGGAAAGAGTTTTGCAGAAGCCCCTAATGCAATCCAACTGACCGTGTGTCATTTTTCTTTGTGATGGTCGGCAGTGTTTATTACACGTCGTGCGTGTGACAGCTAAAACAATATGCGTCCAAACTCTTTCTGTCAGTCCCTCAAATAAAAGTCGCTGTTATGTAGATTGCTCGGCGGCGGTCGTGAGACTGTTCATTTTTCTCGTCGTATCTGTAGTGCCGCAGGTGTCTAATCCTAGCTGCTTTGCCCCGCACTGACGATGTAGTTCAAGCCCGTGGCTGTAGCTTTCCCTCTCTTCAAGCGACTCGAGCTCTCTTGGATGAAATGTGGAAGACGGCTTATAATGACTTAGAGCATTCCGTCTAGAGCAGTCACTTGTGACTGTGCCGCATCCCTCACTCCCAAATCCCACCCCCTCCCTCCAGCCTGCTGATATTGTAATGAGCAGAGATGGGAGGAATCACTCCATTATGCATAGGCGCCACCACTGGCTGCGTGCATGTCCCCGAGACTGCAGCATTCATTAAGGGGAGCTTACCAGCCTGAAAGCTGGGAAGCCATGATAACGGGATATGATTTTCATATTTAATATATTCCTTGGAAGAGCAGGCGCGTGCCGCAGATTGATAGAAGAATCAATTGCTACTTTAGCGAAACACTTTCTACTTTGCCCTGCAGCTAGCGATGGAATCACTCAGCCAAGAAATTAACTTTTCCTCTCACTCCATTTCTTTTTTCCTTTCTTTCTTTCTTTTTTTTTTTTTTACTTCTACACTGGATCTGCCAGACAGACTGTGTGGTTTACAGTGGATGTTATTAAGCAGCTAACAGGCTGGTATTTAAGACCCTTATCAGAAAAGAAACAGAAGCCATGTTTTTTTTTTTATGTGTGTTGATTTTTTTATTTATTTTTTCTGTACCCATCCGCCACTCTTCCTCCGTAGTGCAGTATTTCTGTCATGAAACAGAGTTTAGGAGCATAGGATTGTTAATAAGATTAAAAGTTAAGACACTGATCTCAGTGCACTCAGCTGAACAGACAGTTGGAAGAAAATCTAACCTTGACCAAAAGAAATCCTAGTCAGTCTGTAAAAAGCCACAAAAATGATACCTTGAAATATTTTGATTAAAGTTTATTTGAAAAGAAGCCACTGTAACCTGAATTGTCAAGGTTGGGTTTTAGGGCCAAGGACTAGTGGAAGTAAAGCATGAGAGAATGATATATCAGAAATTTAGCTCCCACTTGCTGGCAATAAGGTATCCTTGACCACCCAATTAATTTTTCACTTTTTAAACCTCTTGACTCAGTGTTCTTGACATACCTTTTTTTGTTGTCTGCAGTTTTACTTTCTTTCATTTTCATGAATATAAAAAAGTAGTATATCACAATTTTACAGAAATATTTGAAAAATATTTAACTTTTTACATTAGTCAAAATATTCAGAAACTCTTCCCATGGGTATTCAAAAGGACATGCCTCAAAGGGTTACTGTAATTCCTCTTAAAATATTAGCTTACTCAAAAATTCTCTCACATTTGTGTTTTTCCAAACCCATATGACTTTCTTTTCTCTGTTGTACACAAAAGGAGATTCTTGCACATGACTTGTGTACAGTATTCAAAATCTGTCATAACCGGTTGCTACGTATATGTTGTGTTCCACAGGAAAAAAGAAAATCATAAATTTGGATGGTGTGCTATTTTAGAGCTATTGATATACTATTGTAGTTTTTGTTAATATTTGAATACATTTTTTATTTCTATTTATTTATTTATTTAACGTTTTTCTTAGGGTCTAAGAAAGATCAGCAAATCTGTTGGCTGTTCTGCAGTCCAAAAAGAAGTCAAAAGGTGATCATGCTTTTTCGGTAGTAGGCCCAAAATTGTGAAACAGTCTCCCCCTTTATATTCGGCAGGCTCCTTCTATAGAGGTTGTTAGGTCTCAGTTGAAGACACATTTTTTTAGTCTGGCTTTTGAAGTAGGGACATTTTAATTATGGGAACCCTTACCATTGTCTGTTTTATTTTTGTGTAAGTTATGTGTGTGTGTTTGATGTTTATTCTTAATGTTTGTGAAGCACATTGGGCAACAAAGTTGCATTTAAATGTGCTGTATAAATAAAAGTTGAAGTTTCTAGATTTTATAAAGTTTTAGTTTTCATTATTAGCTTATTTAGTTTTAGTTATTTTCATTATTTCAACTTAAACCAAACAAAAATAAGTAATGTTGGCAACTAGCTGAAATAATTTTTTTTATATTTTATTTAAATATAAAAAATATACAGTATATTTTATATGTATTTTGGTTAACCCCTGTGGGACGCTTGGCACTCTTTTTTTTTTGTTGTCCTTTTTCTCTATCAAATCTTTTAGTAATCATCATAAATCATATATAATTTGAAAGCTTAGAAGCCCAAGATTCATCCTGTGAAAACCATTTTGAAATCGGACATTGGGTTACCATGGAAATTGTACTTTAAAATCTTTTGGCGGTCTCCTCCCCCTTAGTGGGCAGTGTCAAGTGTCATATTACAAAATGCATTACGGTCTTTTAGAATCAAAACTTTTTATAATCTTGACAAAAAACGTAACATTGGAAAGGTCTGAGTCTCAGGATTTCATATTTGGTGGTTATTTTGAGATAGAAGTAATATTGACAGAGAAATCTAGACATTTGTGACTATAAACATTTTTTATAGAGTTTGGATGGCACCCAGTGGCTGTATGTGGTATAACGCCCTAAATAAAATCTCACAGGAACCTCAATTTTTTTCATATCAACTTCAAATTTGGAACATAACTTATGTTCCATAACATAAGGCTTTAATTTTATACCAATTTTAGAGTAAAACCGGTTATGTAAAATATGTATTATATATATAAAATAAAATAAAATTAATAGTGCATTTTCTTTACAGTAAATTTAAACTACCATAACTTTTTGATACTTAAATTTTTTGAAAATATATATAAAATAAAATAAAATATATAGTGCATTTTCTTTACAGTAAATTTAAACTACCATAACTTTTTGATACTTTAATTTTTTTTATTCCACTTTTGCGATAATCTGCTGATTTTCTTCTTTAAAAAGAGACCAAACTTATGTCTGTATTCCAAAGTGTTCATAAATTACAACAATTTAAGTTTGGATAGTGTACCTGCATGCCTATTTTAAAAAATGGGGGGTGACAGTTAAGGGTGATTGTTTTATTTCAAGTAATAAAATAGTTTTTTATGGTTTTGGTTTTGGTTTTGGTTTTAGTTTGGAACAACATGAAGGTAAAATTTTCATTTTTACGTGAATTGCTATTAACTCCTGTCTTCAATTACTTACATCCACCATATATTGTTTGACTTGCACAGCTCCCGAGCAGGTTCCAGCTTCCCAGCATACAGGGATCATCACAGAGTGCTGTCATCTTCACGGGTCACCATACCTCCAACAGCTCATCAAGAAATGATGGCGTCACAACCACACGTTCACCATCTCAGACAGAGCTGATACCTAATCACCCTTCACTCTCTCCTCTACAAAGTGGCCTTTGTATGCACTCCCATGTTTTAAAAGCCAGTGGCACTGTCATTTTATCTGATGACATCCTAAACTCAGGTGATTTCCTTGAGGAGAGACATTTGAGTGACGTGCGTGAAAAGCAGATGGAGTCTGATTGGGACGTCTCTCAGAGGGCAGGAGAGCGGCATAGATGTGAAGAACTAAACTCACCTCACACGACCCTGAAGGAAGCTGAAGTGTCCTCTCAATCTGTGACCGCGAAGAAGCCTGCAGACATTGTGTCATTAGAGCGGTATCTGAACCGCAGTCCTTCCCCAGATACCACTGATCCAAGAGATTCCTCACAGTACATGAACTCTGGAGGTGAGGAGAGACATTTGAGTGACGTGTGTGAAAAGCAGATGGAGTCTGATTGGGACGTCTCTCAGAGGGCAGGAGAGCGGCATAGATGTGAAGAACTGAACTCACCTCACACGACCCTGAAGGAAGCTGAAGTGTCCTCTCAATCTGTGACCGCGAAGAAGCCTGCAGACATTGTGTCATTAGAGCGGTATCTGAACCGCAGTCCTTCCCCAGATACCACTGATCCAAGAGATTCCTCACAGTACATGAACTCTGGAGGTGAGGATGAGGAAGGTGACTCCACGCCAAGACATCAAGATCTTTCAGGTTTGAATTTTCTGCTTAATTAACTGCAATTCTACATTGTGATTAAGCAGATTTATTGATATGACTTGACACTTTTTATTTTTGATTAGCCCATTTTAAGAATTATACTTATAATCATCTACACATTTCAGATGACACTAACAACAGACATCACGCTTTGAGAGGAGATGTTGTAATTCAAGAGCAAAGTGTAATACCCTTTCAAACCGAAGGTGGCACACACAAGCAGGTCAACACACAGGAATCTGGAAGGCTGCACTCTCTCGAATCCCCCAACAGGTACAGTTGCTTGGATTGTATGACTAATTTCTTCCTTCTGAACACAGCCAGAAACTCTATGGACCCAAAGACTGGCCCTACTGAATGTTTGCTACTCCAAAATAGATTGCTCATTATCGATGCAATCACAGTATTGTATTCTCTAATCTAAGTTATCGCTTGTCTGTTCTGTAGATGCCTCTGATTATTACTCTAGAAGAAATGTTGTGATTTGTAAGTCACAAAAAAATGGAAATAGCAATGAGTGAAATGATTTATAAAAAAAAAAGAATAAATGTAGGGCAAGGGACTTGGTTCTGTTGAGTGGATTTTGAAACTTGGGAAAACTTTTGAAACTTCAAAAATTGATGCAAACATGCGGTCAATTGTGGAGGGCCAGAGTTTAAACAGACTGATTGAGAAGTCCGGCATACGTCAGCAGAGAAAAATGTGTCGTTTTCACTGGAAGATCGAGTTTGATCATTTTGATTAAACATTATGAGATCCAAAAGAAAAGAAAAAAACATACATGGAAGAATCGTTCACAAAAATGTATTTTGAATTTGCATTTTACACCGACTTTAGATTTAGATGTAAATGCCATTATGTTCTTGATTTAAGGTTTGCTAAAACATTTATTTATTGCATTAGCATGCCCAGATTCATTACAAATAAGTTTTATAAACTTATTTATAAACATCCCTGCAACAAGATTAAAGTTTTTTTTATTTCATTTTTATTTTTTTTATATGTTCCTTGAGGTTCACCTATAATGTTCATAAAAAAATAAATAAAAATTACCGAAAACAGTCATTTGTAGCCAAAATGATCCTCTGTCTGAAATTATCTGTTTTAAGGATGCAGCTCTTTTAATGCTTTAATTGCCTGGAAAGGCAACTACGTGGGAAACATATCATTGTCACCACTATTGCACATGCTGTCAGATCCAATGCAATAATGGTTACTTCATCTTTCAACAAAAGTTTCTTTGTGAACTCTTTATTACACTCTTCTTCGTTTGCAAAACAGTCTGCAGTCAAATGTTCCAAACAAACATAATCCTCAGATGATATCTGGGATGCCATTAAAAAGAACCTATCCACTGTTCCTGATGCTTCCTTCTGAAGGCTGTACAGACGCAAACATGTTGTTTAAACAGGATGAGTCAAAGCTAACGCTCTTGCTCTTATACTCTTTCGTTTGTCCTGTTGTCAGCAGTAGCTCAAGCGTGTGTCAGAAACTGAATGCTCATTTGTATACTGTATACAGTGTAGACAGCATCAGTACTTATAATGGGTTCTATTTGCTTTTTCTATTTATTGGTGTAGTCAGGTGGCAGCTATTTAGTTGACTAAAAGCAAGTGGGCGTGGCCAGTGATGTGATGATGTAAACTAATCGTCACTAGGTGTCCGGCTTAAAGGGGTCATGTGATGCAATTTCAAATTTTCCTTTCTCTTTGGAGTGTTAAAAGCTGTTCGTGCATAGATAAGATCCCTAAAGTTGCAAAGACTAAAGTCCCAAACCCAAAGAGATATTCTTTATAAAAGTTAAGACTTGTCCACACCCTCCTAAAACGCCTCGTTTAAACACCTCCCTACATGTCTACGTCACTGTGTGGGAAGATTTGCATAACACCGCCAAAATGTTCACGCAAAGAAAGAAGGCGTAACTTTTATTCTCGCTTTAGTGTTGTTGCCGACACCGCCATGTCGTGAAGACGCTGTGTGTTTCGTTGTGAAAGCGAAACTACTTTGTTTGGCCTTCCAAAAGAGGACGATATCCGCTTCGTCATGCCTAGAGCTGATCCGTGCTGGTCGCTGAGGAAATATATCAACTTCGCGCTGTGGACGAAGCGGAGTCTTAGCAACATCATATGACCCCTTTAAATTGCACTGCACAGACCGATCTGTGGATGACAGCCATAGAGAGCTATAGGGAGCAGACATCGCCGTATGCTTTTGAATCACTCTTGCGGTACATTGATGTCATACACGATCAGTCTGTGCTGTGCGATTAAAGTCGAACACACCTGCAGTATGCTGCATCCCAATTCGCCTACTTATACTAGGCCCTAAAAGTATGTACTCTTTTTGTGCATAAAAAGTACATACTTTTGAGTATGTAGCAGAATAGTAAGCAAGCTTTGGGACATAGTCATAACTGTGTCTTTAATTAGTTAAAGCTGGAATACACTACATAACTATTATTAAATCTGAAGAGATTTTAAAACGCTAGGCATCATACATTTACCGACTTTGTAAACAGTCACAAAGGAAAAGCTGGGCATTATACACTAAACGACTGAGGATCACACACTTCTAGTGTGCATCGATCTGCACTTTGAATTCTAACCGGAAGTACTAGACCATCCGGGAATCTTTGGCAAACTCAACATGTTTGATATCCTCCGACTGGATGGAATCAAAGTCTGAAGCTAAAAAATCGGAGTCTGTGACCATCATACACTACACGATTTTCTATTAAATCTGTCAACTGAAATCTTCAGACTGGTTCTGACTTTTTGCAACTAGACTGTAACTTGTAAATCGACAGTCGACTGTAAATCGGCGGAAAATCGGGGAGAAAATTGTGTAGTGTATTCCAGGCTTTTCGTGCATTCTATCAGCGTTTAAATTGCCCTGTCAATCATCTTGTCACAGTCAACATCATCCACATTTTGTTTAATTTGATTTCCTACCGTATTTTAGAGAAAAGAAGAGTCACGTTGATCTGCCAATCGCGGGTCAATCATGCCGAGAACTCTCCTCATGTGTCTGAATGATGCATTTAAAAGTTAATGACCAAACGTATCTTTATAAAAGTTCACAATGTTGTTGCAGATAAAATATAACATGTATAACATTAAATAAATATTTTCATCAGGTTATATATTGATCATATATCACGCAAACCCCTTTCTCTACCTGTCCAATGGTCTAGCATATCCACCATGTTTGTAGTTTTTTAAACACTTTTTATGCGTGTTTGCAGTTCTAATCAAATCCTCAATGAATTCAATGAGCAATTGATTTTGAGCAATATTAGCTGTTAGAGTATGCATGGATCTGCACTTCAATTTTCTACAGGAAATAGTCAACCATCCGGGTACCTTTGGAATGCTCATTTCAACATACTACTAATTGGGACATTAATTCTAATTTCGAATTCTATTTAGGACGGATACTATGCAAATTGGGTTGCAGCACTAATGTCTTGCTTTTGAGTTAGTCACACGCAAATGCCCTTGTGATGTCACAGATTTCACAACCTCCAAGTGAGCCAATTTTGGAGCTTGATTTACCGTATTGACCCGAATATAAGACAATGTTTTTTTCTTGGAAATACATGAAAAAACGCGGTCGTCTTATATTCAGGGTCTAGACTTTGACATGTCAATAATACACCCACAACAATAGGTGGCGCCAAATACGCATAAAACGAGTGTGCCATGAAATATGTAATATGTTCTTTTTATACTGAGGAGGACATTGACAGAGGGTACAAAAATCTCTTATATGTCAAACAATCAAGGAAAATTAGATTTGTCATTAAAGTACTGTTTAAGTTTTAAGGATGGTTGGTTAGTTTTATTAGAAAACAAGACAAAAGAAAAAAAAATGAAAGAAAAAAGAAAAAGCATGTTGTATTAAGCATGTTGAAATCACTGAATTGTAGAGCTGTTAGGAAAAGGGAAAGCTAATACAGTCAGTAGTAGAGTTTCTACAAAAAGTATAACCACAACAACTGGGAGATCATTTATCTGTGTGTGGTTTTGTTGGATTGGAATGCGTGTACATGTGCACATTGGTGTACAGCTATAATGAACTGGGGTTCTGCAGCAAACAACCTCACTCAGTGGGGCTCAGTTGTGGCTTTAGAGCACCTTGTAAGGCTCGGACCCCGAATCCAACATTATTGTCCTAATCCTAGATAATGCTTCAAGGGAGCAATTTTCTCCTCAGAAGATTTGAGCCCAAGTCCCAGTAGACTCAACTATTTCTTGACTTCATAGAATTTTCTGAAGAATGAAAGTGTGGGCGTCATGAAGGCTGTGCTTAGGCAGATTGTATATATACTTTTATATACTTTTTATAGTATATACAATATACTATTTATGCTGTGTTCTCAACATAATGGAAATATATACACATCACCTACAAATGGAACATTTGAAAACAAATAAACTGTTATATAATCTAAATCTAAAAATACATGTCATATCATATATATAATTGAATGCACATATAAATGCCCGTTCATTTGCATTTTTACTATAAAACATATTAAAAAATATATGTACATTTGTGAATACTTATGACTGTTAGTCTATATGTATAACTCATTATCTTATCCTTTTATTTACTAATTTATCCTTTTTGACACAATATTAAATTAAATTAAATAAAAAAAAATATTTTTTATATCTAGTTATTATATAATTATATCTAATTGTATTGCTTTCTGCTTTCAGAATGAATTAGTGACTAACTTTATGTGAACATTATTGTTTCCAGTAAATGGCAGTGATTATCGTTTGCCCTGATATTATAATAACATATTGAAGAACCGATTATAGATTAACTGCCAATAAATAAATAAATAAATATCGGTTTAAAAATATTAGTCAAACTAAATGTATCTATCTCTACTTAATAGTATTCATCTACAGGACAAAAAACACTTTGTGGATTTCAAGATTACAGCTAAGATTTGCCAATGTGTTGTCCCTTGAACCCCTTTGTAAGACATGCTTCTGTGGTTATGGACATCACTTTTGAAAAAGAGAATGGAATGATATGCATCAATTTCAACTTTATAACCCTCCAGGACAATGTGATTTAAGATTTATACTAAATACTCCAGCTGTGTCCCTCGAGCTTTCATTCATTCATTCATTCATTCATTCATTCTATTCTGCAGTGAATAAATAGATTAACAGAAGTCTATTTTATCATTATTGCCCAGTGCATACATGGAGTGGAGTATCCACTTAAATGAATTGTTTGTATACATGCATAGC